ACATTTTCTTCAAGTGAGCTTCCTCCTCCCCAGCAAACCCCAGCGGCGTTCTACGCATACGTTGTTTAACTGGCGATTCCTTACCAGTGACGATGGTAAGTTCAATGGCTGTGAAATCCCCAAAGTCCAAGTCATGTCGTGCGAAGACATCCTGAAATTCGACTAATAAGTTAGCCAGTTCATTTTGGTCTGCTGGTCCTAGTTCACGTTTCGACCTGGTGAATAGTCCCTTCAGGTGTTCAGGAACTTGAGTCTCCAGGTCGTCTTCTCCCACCCCCTCAGTGGAAGACGCCCTGCATTCAGGGTTTCCAGCAGCCTCGCTCCTCCCTCGGACAGGGTCTACTACTTCTGCCTCGGACGTATTGCCGATGTGTTGTCCCTTGTGCAACTTCACCGTGTGGTCGGCTGTGTTTACCAGGCACACCACTGGGGACTCTTGTCCTTTGTGTAAAGTCCTCGGCATAAGAGCATATCGTTGCACTCCCTGCAACGGCTCTACTAAGTACTGGTTTAAGTCCCGGCCTATACAGCAAGGAACTCGGGTAGCAGTGTGAGGTGCTAACGACAGTGTCTGAGCTACTGTCACCTTGCACACCCCATATTTCTTAAGCTTCAGCGTCATGGGAACTTCACATCTGCCAATGGTGATCGTTCTGTGCTGCACATTGATATTGGTACAATGCCTGTCTATGAAGTCCAGACCCAGAATGAGTTGGTCGTTTATTGGTGCTACCAACACTTCTTGTCGGTATGTCACTCCATTAATTCGAATACGGGCCATGTCTGTGATCCACCCCTTCATTTTCATATCTCGACCTGCATTGTTCACTATCACCGGTCTGGATATGGGCAACTTATCACGCAGTTGCTCAAAGAAGATATCAGACACAATAGTGTTCTGAGCCGCTGTATCCACTACCCCCTGGGTCTCTGTTCCTTGGAATGTCACCGGTATCAGGTATGAGGTTCCTTCATCCAGAGCATTAATGGTTACTATGGGCAATCCCGCCTCTCTATCCATCTCTCCTTCTTCCTCACCACCTGGCCACGTAGCACTCTCGTTAGTGCTACTCTGGTCTCCGCCGTCTGGCGGCCATGGCGGCAAACCCTGGTTATCTAGTCCAGAGTTGTTGTGAGACGCAGTCTCTAACACTGCGCCCACCCGACAGTCTATGTCGTTAAGGTTATCTGGCGGCCATGGCGGCAAACCCTGAATATCTAGTCCAGAGTTATTGTGAGGCGCAGTCGCTGACACTGTACTCTCCCGACAGTCTATGTCATTAGGGTTATCTGGCGGCCATGGCGGTAGACCCTCGATAGTCTCTTTAGAAAACAGGAGACGAGCAAGCGGGTCTACAAACCCGTCCCTTGGCTATTTAAAGGCTTCTCTGTGGATCCCATCGCAAAGGAGACACTCTTAGCTGTAGTTGCATTGCCTGCCAGTTTCGGGCATGCCGCCTTGAAATGGTTGAGGTCTCCACAATGAAAACACCCGACGACCTCCCAGGGCTGGGTGAGCGGGACCTCGACCTCATGCTTCCCAACTTCTTTACCGTTCCGGTGAGTTCCTGCACTGAACGTAACTAGTTGAGTCATCTCCGACCTGATACCTTTGACCTCTTTCTGTACCGTTCCTAGGTAGGTCTCGATCAAGGTGACCCTTCTCGCCAGATCGGTGACTGCTGGTAAAGTGCTTATTGGGATCGCCGCTGTCTTTGAGGAGGCTCGCACTTCCCTCGGTTGCTCCTCCATGTCTTCCACCGTCAATGCCCGCAACTCCCGCCGCGGCCTACTGTATTGCAAGTGCAAGTTGTGCTGGTAATGCCTCACTGCATCCATGGCCCTTTCCAGGGAAGTGGGTTTCAGATTGTAAACCAGGTTCCCGGCGTCCCGGTTCTCACAGCCCATGCAAAACCTTGTTATGGTCTCCTGTTCCACAAAGTCCTCTGGCAGACCTGGATATGCCCGTGACGAGGTTGCCACCAATCGTTCAGCCCAGGCCTCTAGTGTCTCCCCTGGCTCCTGTTTCAAGGACGGGAAACGCATTCTTGCCACCTGAGCAGGTTCCACAATGCCAAACCTCTTCTGGAATTTTTCCATCATTTGTTCATATGACATGAACAGGTCCCTCATTTGACACGTGTTAAAGAAGGAACTCGCTTCCCCAAGCATGCAAAAACATAGCTGGAACAGTTTGTCCTCATCCGTCCATCCCTCTCTATCTGCCAGCTTCTCGAACTTGATCTTGAATGGCGCCCACGCCTCCTTCCCATCGTAGCTAACCAGGGATGTGACAACGCGAGGTCCTGTATAGTCGTTGGCCCTTGGCCCTTGGTTCCGTCTACCCCTAGGTGGACCTTGATCCCTCTCCTCCTGTTGTACTCGTCCCCTTGCAGCCTGGGGTTCCTGTCGTTTGGGGTTTTGCGCCGGACCTGTCATTTCCCCATACTCCCCTTTCCGGGGAGTCTGCTCCTGCTTCATCTCCCGGTGGGGCAGACCCGCCCCTGGCTCCGGTGTCCCTGCCAGAGGTGTATAAGCGGCTGACCTCTTGGCATTTCTCTCATTCACCATCTCACTAATGTTGCCCATCTCATAGCGCTGCACATTTGTATGTCCCGCACTAGTCTTCGGGCGGACGTCAGGTGGCGTTGCTTTACCTCGATCTGGAGTTGTTGTCACTCCCCAGTGTCCGTCCTCAAATCGAGTAGGCGTTATTGGCTCCAGCTTCAACTCTCGGTGCCCACCCAATGGCGTATTACCTCTCATAAGCATGTCCTCTCTCACCTCCATGGAAGCACTATGTGGGGCCGCGTCATGTGGCCCACCCCTGATGTGTCCCTCCGGTGTCATGACTGGCATCCCAAAGTTGTCCATTCGACCTAACACCCTCTCCATCCTGTCATCGGATTTTTCGTCCATCTCGGCCACTGTTCACAATATCTTTGATGCTTTATCCACATTTCAAGCGGCACTCCTCTGGTGTACTTCTTCCAGAGCCTGTATCATTCCTTGTGCACTCCTCTCATTTCTAGCAGCACTCTTCTGGTTCACTCCCTCTAGGGCCCGTATCATTTTTTGCGCACTCTCCTCGTTTCCAGCAGCACTCTTTTGGTTTATTCCCTCCAGGGTGTGCATCATCTGGCTCATCAACTGCCTGAGCTCATCCATTGGTACTCCCGTGTCCCGTCCGGGACCGTCAGCCCCCGCTTGGCCTTCCTCTGGGGTGTCATTCTCGCTGTCGGAGTCGCAAACCTGAGTTGAACCCTCGATACTGAGCACACTGGCCACCTCGTCGCTTTCCCCATGTTCGTTGGGCGGTGGGGCCACTTCCTTCAATGCTCCATTGAGTGTAAATGAGAGTAGTGACATAGCGTCATCGTCCATACGGAACTCCTCCATATTCTCCACCTCCTCCCTGGTGATGTTATACCCCTGGCTCCTAATTGACATGAGCCTATCTACCTGGTCTCTGGAGAGTCCACTGTGTTTTAACTCCGTGGGGTTCACAAAGTTCACATGTACCACTTTAGCAGCCATGATGAAAAGTCTCAACAGTCACAACGGTCCCCTCACCGTGAAGTGTCTCAGGTATAACGTGTCACTATTCTCCCCTCTAGTAGAGGTTGGGGATAGCAGTGTCTAAATCCCTCCCGAGGAGCGGTCGGAATGATGGGTAAATGTCACTCTCTCACCGGGTAGCGGCTGGGATTCGCAATGCCTGTATCCCTCCCGAGGAGCGGTCGGAATGATGGGTAAATGTCACTATCCCACCGAGTAGCGGTTGGGCTTGTGGATAAATGTCACTATCCCACCGAGTAGCGGTTGAATTATGGACAAATGTCACTATCCCACCGAGTAGCGGTTGAGATTATCGACAAATGTCACTATCCCACCGAGTAGCGGTTGAGATTATGGACAAATGTCACTATTGGAATTATGGATAAATGTCACTATCCCACCGAGTAGCGGTTGAGATTATCGACAAATGTCACTATCCCACCGAGTAGCGGTTGGAATTATGGATAAATGTCACTATCCCACCGTACTAGTACTGGTGAGGGGTGTGTTGAACCATTTACCCCCAATTACAGTGATACCATTTTCTAGCAGCAACAAATGCGTTATATACTATATATGTTCAGTTCCATAAATGCATGCCTACTGACAAAGTTCACTGACATCTATCCCACTCGGAAGTTATAAGTTCCACATCACTTACCGTGACTTTTTTCCCAAGAAAAATTCCATGAATAATCCTCCATAGAAATACACAATCCATGAATCATCTCACACACGAATATATCCACGAATAAACACAGTCCACGGCAAAACACCGTCCCTTCTGCAACAAGTTCACTGCGAATTGTCCAAAGTCAAATGTCAACACAGCCTCCGGAAGTAAACACCGAATTTCCCCCCGGTCATGCGCAGTGGGAACCCTCAGGTGGCACAGAGCATAACATCAGAAATACACGAAAACACACTAAATCCCTCAAATTACGCCAACTAGCACCGAAAGACCCCTAAATAAGTTCTAACTAGGATATGCAATTTCGCTCGCACTGCAACCCCACAACAGTGCCGAGCTGAGAAAGCTGGGTGACCAGTAGTCCCCCCCAGCCCCGTGCTCCCCACGCGGGTAACCTAAATACCCTAAAAAGCTCCACCAAAGCTACTTTTAGTACGGTAACTAGTCCTCCCCTCTCCGATATAGGTACGGAGATACTAGAAAACCCATCTAACTGTACTATAAACCACTTAAATTCTGTTACACCCACTTTGGGTGGAAGACCATGCGGTCTCCCAAGCGCGGGAAAACAGAAAAGTGACGAGCGATGACCCGAGCGAGAAAATGGGATTCCTCGCTCAGAATCGTTTTTCACAGCGCCACTGTAGTGATCACAGGCTTCACCACGTTATTAGATCACCGTGGAGTTAATCGCGGCTCGCACCTTGTAAGTATTGAGGCCCAAATCTACGGTTTTATGTAGACCCCTGAATCAGGCAATGTTATACTCACAAGATGGCTTCCACGAACTCCCTGTGGCGATCGGTTGTCTCCGGCACTTTCCGTCGGGTCCCCCAACTTCCGGTTGACAGCTCCGATCACCACAATCATTCTCACACACATTCTTACGAGGCTGCTGAAAGAGGGCTTCATTTTCTGGATTTAACTTGGACATGTACTTTCGAAAGGATACAACAGGACAGAGGGGAGTTCCTGTCGCGTATACACGTGGCTTTGTGTACTCGGAATCGCCGAAGCCCCCAGGATGATTTTTCGTGGATTCGCTATGTGCCATGGATATGAATTCACAGCCAACATCGTCTGTTTCGACAACAAAGGAATGAACAGACAACTCCCTCTGGTTCTCACAGCCCCTTCGTCCAAACCCTAGGGTCAAATCAAACCACACTTTGTTTTGAAGGTCTACAGGGTTTTCCAAATTTTGTTTGTTTCTAATTTTAGCTAAATCACCATCTGAAATGGCATTGTGATGTGCTTGATTATCAAGACCTAACTGCTTAAATTTTTTTTAACATTGCTGCAAAAACGGAGTTGGCCGAGTGAAATTCTTTGTCTTGAAGAATGTTAATTTTCATGTTAAATGGTGGCTGTCTAAGGTGTCTGTGGATCGCTGCGCGGATCCCCAAATACGATGACTTGGCATAATAATTCCCGTCGGAATTTCGGACTTCAGCGTAGAATCGCTTCAGCAGAGCGTTCAGTTCATCAACTGGAAATGTCTCAAACTCGGGAGAGAGTTCGTGAAATTGTAGCCACTCTGGAAATATATTTGAATTAAAAATTTTTATTTTATGTGCGCTTCAATGTTTTGATATCATTTTGTTAAAAGGTAAGTAACAACTATATTTAACATGTTCAAGATGATTTACATCACCCTCGTTTATCATAGGATATGTTAGGTCAAATCTTGATAATTTTGTTGATTTAAAAAGATTGTCTTTGCTCTTACGTTTCATGATTTTTACTCCCCACGCAGTTGTTTGAAGGGTGGTTTTGCTCCTCGAATCCAAAACAATATGTTCTAGATCATTGTCGGTCACTGTTTTGAAACGCTTGGTAGCAGGTTCATTTTTGATATCTAAAACAGTAAAATGGTAAATTTGAGTGGAATATTTACTTATGAATAAATTAAACTGCCGTTAAATTTCGTAATAATTGATTATTTATGCAAGGAAACATTTCGTACAATACAAGAAATAAATTGAGGAATATTTTCAGTCCATTTTTTTTCTTTCCTTTTTATATGAAGAGACATGCACCTAGCTTTCGACTTTTCAATTTAAGAAATGTGAAACGAATTATCGCTACCTGTAGAATTTTCCAGCTTCGAAGTTTCTTCATTTGCGTTAGGCTCCAGAAATTCTTCGTCGAACCATTTGCTTTTCAGTTCAAAAACATCACAGATGCTGCCGAGGTAGAAGTCTCCGATGTCAGACATGTTTGTTTACAAACAATAGGGTCAACGAGTTCGTTGAATTCATACGCGGTGAATCGGTCACTTTAATTAGCGGTCATTTAAGTACGGTTTTAATGAGCTCTCAGCCAATCAGAATCGATTATCACACATTGTCGTGCTAGAATGCTTGATTTATAGAGCAAAAACACAACAAAATCACTATGCTTGACTAAGCTTTAAGAACAACATTTAATCATGACAAAATAATAATGTAAATGATATTTGGCACACATGAAACAAGGAAATATCCGAAGATTTCCGAGTGTTACGAAGTTTTCCGAATGCAAGTCAAAATACCGGTTTTCAATCAGCGTATCGCAATATGTATCGTTTTCACGTATCGTTTTCACCGGTAAACCGGTTATATTGCGCGGCCCTACAAAGTACAGAATTGAAATCTGCAATGAACAGTGATCATATGCATTGACTTAATTCATTCATAATATGATATTGTGCTGAAATGCCATTAAGGAAGAAATGATTGTCCATTTTTGACCCCAAAATAAAAATAAATGTAGATAAACATATTTATTATTGTTATTGATATTATTATTGTACATAACAATTAGCCATTCATGCCATCAATCACTTGCACTATTGGACGTACTCAGGGCCTTTTTCCAGGAAAAAGCAGAACACAGGAGGATTGACTCGTGTGTGTTGGCATTATTATTAATCTTACTTTTCAAGGTTTTCTTGCTTGCGTTGGGTATTTCCATGGTTTCAGCGTCAATAAGCAGTTGAATGAAGTCTTTGTTCTGGAAACATATCAAGACATTGATACAAGTTTGAGACCTTTACCACTTTGGTGAAACACAGGAGCAGGAAATAATGATAACAGATGTAGAAACTTAATCGGAGGGAACAGGGATTCGACCTTGGTTATAGGTTCCTGGCATATCGAAGGGACGCAACTCTGCTCAAAGAATTGCGATATAATTGACCATCTGTTCCCCAGAACTCCTTCATAATGTCAACCCCACGAATGTTCTCTGCGAAACAGTGTCGTGGCTGTCATATATACCACGCCATTATAAACTGTGCGTGCATATTTGATCATAAGAGCATGTATATATATTTTATATACTCATTTCCTTTGCACAGTACTGGCATTGGTTGAGGATGGACTTTATACTTTTTTATTCTCAAGATTTTAATTTATAAATTGAAATATTACATCAGTAATCATAAAACTTATTAGCGAGCAATATTGGTTCCATTCGCAGAGTTGTGTTTACACAGGGGCCTAGATTTTCGAAGCTCTCTTTGCGCTAAGATAGTCGTAAGTTAAGGTATGGCACTTACGACTATCTCATCGCTAAGAGAGCTTCGAAAATCTAGGCCCAGGGCCCACAAATCTCTCTTAAGTCTACGATCTCGTAACTTTCCTTGTAGCATTGCTACCTCCTATACTGTAACACTGATTTACGATAGCCGTAGCGCTACAAGAGCTTTCTGAAAAGGGGCCCAGGATCTGCTGATTTCAGACTCGAACCTAGGGTCCTCCTGAAACATGAGTATTTACGGGTTCAAGACATACCAGAGATGTCTTTAGCCATTGTGGTGGCCATGAAATACATGCGTAACAGGTGTAGGGCGGTAGGGTAGCCTAGTGGTTAAAGCGTTCGCTCGTCACGTCGAAGACCCGGGTTCGATTCCCCACATGGGTACAACACGTGAGGCCCATCCCTGGTGTCCTCCGCCATGATAGCGCTGGAATATTGCCTAAAGCGGCGTAAAACCCGACTCACTCACTCACCGTAACAAGTATGACATACTACCAAACACCGTGTCATACAAACTGGCAACATGGTCAACCAAATATCTGTGAAGACGTACTTCATTCTTAGGTTCGAGCTTCCTCAAGTTGATGGCGTCAACCAACGCTCTCAGAATATACTGATACGGAGCCTTGGGGATGACGCTGAAGCCAAGTATTCTAAGCAGGGGTACCATAGATGGGAATATATCTGGAAATAAACCCAAAAATGTGTGTAAGGTTCACTAATACCCCCGACCGTGACTCCCAACTTGAGGTGAACAACAATCAATAATGATTACTGTTGACAAAAATACAACATCAAACATTGCACTGCACGTTTCATTTAAACAAGGAGCCATTACCCGAATGTGAAAATAATCCATAAAGTGATGGTAAAGTTATTGGTTCAAAACAATTTATATGATACGTTTTCCACAGTTCAAGTGATGTAAATTGTAATAATTCTCGATACATTGAAACTATCAAGGCATGACTTTGCACTGCACTGTAGATATGGGGTCAGTGGGGTAGCCTAGTGGTTAAAGCGTTCGCTCATCACGCCGAACACCTGGGTTCGATTCCCTACATGGGTACAATGTGTGAAGCCCATTTCTGGGGTCCTCCGCCGTGATATTGCTGGAATATTGCTAAAAGCGGCGTAAAACTAAACTCACTCACTGAGATCCAGACTATCAGATGATGGTGCAAAAGATGATGACTCACTGCTGCTGAAATGGGAGAAGGCTCCTTTCTTTCCAGGGCGAATCAACTTTCTTAGGTTGTCGTATAAGATGTCGTCCGTGTCGGTGTTGAGGCCAAAGGCTGCTTTGACGATCACCTCAAGGGTAAACCGACCAAAATAACTGTTGATTGAATATTTAGTCATGTTCAAGATCATTTCAAACGAAAAACAGTAGCATTACATTTAACAGTAATTCACATAGCAATTCTGTCTTTAATCAGGAGTGAGTGAGTGAGTTTAGGTTTACGCCGCTTTTAGCAATATTCCAGCAATTTCTCGGCGGGGTCACCAGAAATGGGCATTCATGTGGGGAATCGAACCCGGATGCTCGGCGTGACGAGCGAACGCTTTAGCCACTAGCCCAACCAACCGCCCCTTTAATCTGGAGGACGACGTGGACCTATTTGCATCTCCAGACTTTGTCGATATTGGTACCCGCCATTTCCAACAAGGGACTGCCGTTGTCTTTCGTAAATTCATATTGTCTGTATCTTGTTCTAGCCAATGCCAAACATTCTGAAAATTTTGGCAAATGGCAGTTGACAATTCCTAAATACACCGGTAAAGATCATTATTCGATATAACATAAGGCATGAAGGTCGCAGGTTCGATCCCCATCCGCGTCATACCGAAAGACGTTAAAATATTGTCCCTGTCTGGCGCTCGGCATTAATGGATAAAATAAGGAGTGGTCGGCCCGGGCTCCGAGTAAGTATAATGTGTCTGAGCGGTGTATTCATGCTTAACTGCTGCGTGGTATCTCAGTGTGCAAGCATTACAAAACCAGTCTGGGCTAGTACAAGCAGCCACACATACACACGCATGCACGTCGTCATAGTCTTAAGTACGACGTCAAACCCCATTTCACCTCACCTCACCTACAACGACAATGTTTAGCATTGAAGGGGGATGTTGCTGGGTGTCTGTGAAAGTGCGTTTTGGGGATTAGGGGGTACATTGTGAAGTTGTCAACGACGTTACCAAAACCTTGGACAAAACACACATCCTTACTTGACACATTCATGAAACGTGGGGCGGTCGGGTAGCCTAGTACTTAACGCTTTCGCTCGTAACGCGCAAGACCCGGTTTCGATTGCCAAAAATGGGCACAATATGTGAAGCCCATTTCTGGTATTCCCCGCGGCGTAAACATAAACTCGCTCACTTCACGAAACGTACTTACTCTCGCAAGACGATCTCGTCTCCATCTCTGTCTCTCAGTCTCTTGACCAAGGCATCGGCACAGTCATTCAATATGCTGCCCATCTGGGGATATAGCAGAGGAAATATGCAAAACAACAGACATACTTGTTGTTACTTCATAAAACGTACATAACTGTTAGGAGTCGGGTTAGTGACAAAATGGATGTTAGAAGCAACTCCTTAATTTGTCCACGTGTTCCTACTTTTAGCCTGCCTGTATTTGTGACCGGTTCCAACAGTGCTTATGTTCTTGCGAACACCTGGAGACATTACTACTTGGTAGGGATTCTTAAATACACAATTGCGGAATAATATATACTGATGGTACATTTGAAGCAACACCTAAAAATTGAAGCTACGAAAGCTTTCAGATGCATGTTAGGTGCGCAAAATGCAACGTGACCTTCAAAAATGGTATGTGAATACACTACATGGGCTTCTACACTATATGGAGAGTCCCTGCAGCGACACAACGCAGTATGTTTATGACATCAAGATCATTTATTCCATTGGAGAAGTACAGTGGTAATTCCCCCAAAATGGACATACCATAAGGTATTCACATTTTGATAAAAAAATGTCTTCACCTTGCCAACTCTGTAATGTTTTGTGGAACAATAGAACTTCTTGAAATGGAATCCACTAAACTTGACATTTAAAACAATAACTGGGTCATCAGTAGTACGTGTATCCGCCATGAGCCTGAATCACCTCTTGACAGCGTCTCCTCATCGATAGCATGAGTTTACGAACAAAACGCATGGGCAGATTGTTCCATGCGTCTAGCATTGCCTACCTGAGTTCTCGAATGTTGGCCATGGCCTGGTTACTGGCGGAAATACGCCTACCAATCGCGCACCACACGTGTTGGATCGGATTAAGATCTGGACTTACACTTGGCCAATCGAGGGATTCAATGTTATGCTGCCTCTTAGGGTCGGTAATGATCCTAGCACGATGAGAGCGTGCTGATAGATGTGCGCAACATGAGAACACATTCACTCCCGCCGTTTGATGCAACCATTGGCGGAATTGATTTGAAGGCCCAAATGGTGCCTGACGTGCCATTCGTAGCAGCCGTCTATCATCCATCAAATCGGTCTTTTTGAGTCGACCTCGACCAGCGGCAACCTTGACTTCACCTGTCCTGCGGTGTTTGTTCAGCAACTTGCTGATGACGCTGTGACAGACGTTAGCGCGTTTTGTAATCTGCCGCAAGGACATGCCATCTTCTCTCATGCCTACAGTTTGCCATTTTGTAGCCTCAGATTATGTAACTCCGAGCCGACATTATATTGACCTCAGATTTGTAGCCATATTACTAAATCATCAACTCGCACAGTACTACTCTCGAAACAACGTATTGTGAAATGTGTACATGCAAACATTTCACATTCATGCACGGGCAAAACATGTAATGCACGTGCATATTGTTTTCTGAACTGGAGAGACGAAGACGCAGGCCGCGGAAAACTGTTATTCATTCAATGTATTCATTTGAATGGTTTCATTTACATCATGTTCGATCAGGTGTTGCCTCAAATTTTACCATCTGTGTAGTTGACATGTCTTATGATTATGCATTTAACCACACACACACACGCGCACGCACACACACACACATTCACAGACAGGCACACACATTTACACATCCACACTCAAACACACACACTGACAGCCACGCTTATACAGACAAAACACACACACACACACACATACACACGCGCATTAGTATTACCTTGTCCAGCTTCCCTCCACTGAAGGTCGGCGCCATGACTGCACGTTGTCTCCTCCACGCATCACCTTTGGAGAAAAGCACACCGTGACGCACAATGCCTGGATTCAGATCTGGAAACTTTAGAATAAAGATCGTTATATATAACACATACTGAAATATATCAAAGTAACTATTTGCGTCAAGTAGTGTTGGGAATTGGTTGAAATCTCACAATTGATGATTGTTTCATAACCAATGACCAATCATCGAAAAAAATTGGTTAGTGTCATTTTTCAGATTTTCCTATCCAGGTTGTTATTGCAGATATGTATAATATGATGCAACTTGCTACTTCAAAGTGATGACTAAGATATCATGGACATAAACTTCCCGGAGTCTTCAAGAAATATTCAGTCATGGCTTTTCAGTTAGTGAAGTGAGTTTTCTAAGAATTAAACACGTTTTCAGGCACTGAAAACTTCAACGATATGTTCCATTGTCAAGTATTTCAAAGACTAAAACAGTTGTTCCAAAATCGTTTATGTTCGATTATGAGAAAATGTGATCGATTGCTTGGTCGTTTGGTCACTGCGATCAATCATCGTATATTTCAATTAATCGGAACACCACCAGTTCAAGTCCTATTACCACAATTCTTATTAACTCAGCTAGGCAAGAGGTAACAAGAGTGAGTGAGTGTGGCTTTGCGCCGTTTTTAGCGACATTCAAGCAATATCACGGCGGGAGACACCAGAAATGGGCTTCACACATTGTACCCATTTGGGGAATCGAAATCGGGCCGTAGGCGTGACGAGCGGACGCTTTAACCACTGGGCTTCCCCACCGCTCCCATAACACAATTTACGATACCTTTATCAAATAATCACCAGCTATGCCTTTTTCTTTTTTTACCATCAATTCAAAAAGATTTGTTGTATTCAGTGAAACCTTTAATAAACTCTTACCATTCTGTCCGGAAAATCCTGAAAGTGTTTGATTGAGACTTCTTTCAGTATGTCGAGATCTTTGACGAATATGGTCGGAGTATTTCCAACGTAAAATCTGAAAATGTATCGGATACCAACTAGGAGTGTTCTGGAGTACATACACAAATCACATATACCAAGTTTTCATCAGATGAATAAATTTTATTCAAGGGCAAAAGTTATGTGACACAAAACAGCAAACAGAATCAGTGGTACACTTTTACTGCTTCCAAGTTATGTTATTACTTGGAAACACAAATGTTTCAAGGTATGGTAACGATCAACAGATAATAAGAACAGCGCATCTGACATGTGAGCCGCAGTTCACAGGGCAAGTCAGTGGCGAGTGTGTCCACCTTGTACATTGTTACAGGAAGAACGATTTGACGGAGTTTCTGCATCAGTGTTGTCGCTCCATTTTATACAAGCTATATGGCGGCGGTCGGTAAATGAATCGAGTCTGGATCAGACAATCCAGTGGTCAACAGCATGAGCATCGATCTGCGCAATTGGGAACCGATGACATGTGTCAACCAGGTCAGCAAGCCATTTTGTTTATTGGCTGACAATTCAGGCGATCTTGAAATGCATTAACATTTTCCTGATTAAGATACTGTTCTAAAACTGAGGAAAAGTCTGGCGTTATCGAGTTGAAACCCCAGTTAACTGCAGCTCTGTTGCAAAAACGGTAAACGGCCATTTGCAAAATCGTATCTCGGTACTTCACAAAATTTAAGTTCCCCTCAGTTACAATTATTAGCATCTTCGCTGCAGCTGTTGTCTCAACCCAGATCACAGCGCCTCCACCTCCACAGCGATCCCCACCAGAACAACACATTGCCAGATCTAACGTTCACATGTGCTCTTATAGTCACGTTCTTTACCTCGGTAAAGAAAGAATCGTGACTCATCGGTGAAGAGGACTCTTCTCCACTCATGGATTCTCCATCCCTACTGGAGATCTTGACCTGGCGTCAGAATTGTCCGTCAGGCCGGGCATCTTGTACAGATGTCGTACGCGTAGGTTGATTGGTTGGTTTGCTGTTTTACGCCGCACTCAGCAATATTCCAGCTATATGGCGGCGGTCTGTAAATAATCGAGTCTGGACCAGACAATCCAGTGGTCAACAGCATGAGCATCGATCTGCGCAATTGGGAACCGATGACATGTGTCAACCAAGTCAGCAAGCCTGACCATCCGATCCCGTTAGTCGCCTCTTACGACATGCATGGGTTACTGAAGATCAATATTCTAACCCGGACCTTCACGGGTGAACGTTACTGACAGCAGCATGACCAATGGACAGATTCCATGCTACAGTAACTTTTGCCTCTGAGTATACATTGTTATCCGTTCATTTTTCATCTTCTGCTTATAGATAAGTAAGCAACCAACTGAATGACAATCTTACGTATTTGTGAAGGTCCTCTGTTATCATGTTATGCGTCATGGCATCATTCTGCCGTCATAAACACAATGGGCATGACAAGCTTAAAACGCATTTAAACTCGGGACATGAACACGTGCAACATTGATTTGTTAAACTGTAAAGCACAATAAGAAATTTACAGCAAAGCACAGATGAAATATAAGACATACATGATCAATGATAAAGAACATAGCCTCAAAACGTCACTCTCTGTTGTCTGGCATAACAGATCCCATTAGAGGCAGAACTCAAACTAGTGATGGAAATCATAAGAATAAAGGAATGAAAATGTGATGTAACTCTAAGAAAACATACCCATACACATCTCCGAATGAATGCATCCATTCGGCCAGCACTTCGCGAAATCCCTGGAAAAGCAACAATTTGTTATGACTAACTGGATGATTTTCAAACATTTGCCAGTATAAAAGCACTCATGAGAATTCTGATCATGCACCTCATATTAATCAGTTTCTAAACATGTCAGATGTTTCGAATTCTAAACAGGTTCCACGAATGGTATCTTTGTAATGTGATTCCAACCTGTTCCAAACCTTTTGGAAAATCATGCATACAGACACGTATTAACTAAAGTATTCACAAGGGTTAATAGTTACACGTTCTCTATGCATGTACATGTTTTCAAAGGTTCCTTTGTTATACTTGTGAATATTACCTTTTTCCTGATTTCTCTGATGTTTCCAAGGTATGGCTCTGGATGGGGTCCAGGTATCCCGTACTCATGGAAGAAAGTGTTCTTCCATTGCCCATAGCTACAGTGAGAAAATACGTTCTTCTAAGGGGAGGTGAATTTAGGGTGAGTGAATTTGGTTTTACGTCGTTTTTAATCAGCATTCTAGCAATATTACTGTTGGGGACGGCAGAAATGGGCTTCACACCTTGTACCCATGTGGGGAATCGAACCCTTTCTCTTCGGCGTGACGAACCAACGCTTTAACCACTAGACCACTAGTATAAGTTCAGACATCTGTACTTCATGAGCTAAAAAAGGGAGGATTGACTCTAGAACATGTGGTGTGGTTTAGTATATGTTGTTTTTAATCTTGAAGACATCTGTAACCCGTGAAGATCCAAGTTAGAAATTATCTTCAGCAATCCATGCTTGTCGTAAGAAGGAACTAACGGCATCGGGTGGTCAGGATCACTGACTTGGTTGACACAGTTCATCGTATCCCAACTGCGTAGATTGATGCTCATGGCGTTGATCACTGGATTGTCTAAGACTGCACTTCATCAGGTATACAAAAGTGGTTTAGTATATGTTGTCTTTAATCTTTAAGATATCTCTACTTCACCAGGTAGACAAAAGAATGATCGTCACTACAACGTGTTCTTGTGATTTAGTATACGTTGTAACTGTAAGATATTCGTTTCGGTTAAACTCCTACATTTGATAACAGTTCTTAAGAATTTGCCTGTATAAGTTTTGGAACCACGCATGCGCAGTGTGTGTATCTAGCCATGTGCTTATGCCGCCGAAGTTGAATACAGATGAGAGGAGCTCACTATCGCGTCATGTTGTTAATCCACGCCAGCACAATACAAAACAGTAACGAAATCAAAGTTAACTCACAAGTACGCCAGTGATAGGAAGGTAGTTCCAGCCAGGAGAGCGTTCTGTATGCATTTACACGCATCCATAGTGCCTTGGTATGCTCTGGCGGCGTTGTTCAGTGTGGTAGATTTTATTGTGATATGATTTCAAAGCAATATTAATTAGAGAACTCTGTAGGTGGCCGAGTTTATTGGCCTGGACCTAACAAGCCACAATGACACTGTGGATGGTAATATGAAACATGATATATATATAGACATGTAACGGTGCGATGTCAACAACGCTGGGCTAGATGGGCACCATATGGTACATGTACTTATTATATTATATATATTGTTATATATTATATGTACTGTAAAATGGAATGATATTCTGCGGTTGAACCTTTTTTATAAATAAAAACTAAAAAGTAATATTAATGATTGTAGCTACAAGTCTTCACAGTGTGTAGTAAGAACAAAACATAACAACAATGTTTACATTTTCAGTCATATTTATTCAGTTCTAATTTGCAACATTAAAGTGTTTAGAATTAGATCGAGAATACAGTCCTCAAATGCAACCTATAAATGAGGACTATCATAACTGAATAGTTACTAGTCCTCAACGTGATTTTGTCGTCAGGGGCTAGCGGACTAGTGTGAATTTTGAAAGCTGGACATTACACAGTTTCATGCCAGCCTGATCACCTCGACATGTACATACAGTTGGTCCTTGTTATCTCGACTGTACCCATATGCCGAACATGCCTATTAAGACATGTTTTGTCAATCCCACATGTAATACACGCACGTCGCACACAAATTGTAACAATTATTATTGATCACGTAATTAGAATATCAATTGGCCATCGCGTGCATCTGTTGTAGTTATTGCATCTGTTGTAGCCACTTTTACCTCATGGACGTATATGATTTGAATATCTGGATATCTCGAAATTACAGCACGGTCACACTGGTTTGGATAATGAGGTCCGATTGTAATTGAATCTTCTCCAGCTGAGGGACGATCAGTCAGGTGACATGTGCGTTTCATCCTCATCAAACTTGCTATGGCTGCAATCGTGAATCGCTGTGGGACCCAGAGAAGCCTGATCGTAGTCTGTCATATGGCCCCTAACATTTGCTCGATATATCCCATGCAAATCTAGCACAGGCGATAAGTCTAGATTAACACAGTTTCAGAACATGAAGAAAATATCTGACTCCTGTTCATTATGTTCTACGAATACAATTTAGGAACTGTAAATACGTTCATTTAAGAGACCAGATGATTTTCAGGCTGTAATTATTAACATGGAACAAGGTCGAACTCCTAGAAATGGGTTTCACACGTTGTACCCGTATAAGGAATCGAACCCGGCCCTTCGACTTTACGCGCGAACGCTTTAACAAATAGCCCACCCCACCTCCTCTGATATCGTAGGAAGTGCTACAACTAACCTAGTAATTGTCCTAGTAATGAGGACAAAAGCGATTCAAGGATGGGAACGCACGAAATCCTGGCGCAACCAAGGAGTGTAACTCTACGCTGCGACATTGTTGTTAAACTGTTGACTACTGTCCGCTGCTACTATGTTGCATATAGAATGGGCAACAATGTTGTCATATTGTTGGCCTTGTTGGCCATAGTCTGCCGCAACATTGTTGTCACACCTTTGACTACAGTCTGCAGTGATATTGTTGTCATATTGTTGGCCATAGTCTGCCGCAACACTGTTGTCATATTGTTGACTACAGTCTGCAGTAGTATTGTTGTCATATTGTTGACTACAGTCTGCCGCAACATTGTTTTCTTATTGTTGTCATTGTTGTCATATATTGTTGTCATATTGTTGACTACAGTCTGCAGTGACATTGTTGTCATATTGTTGACTACAGTCTGTATTGTTGTCATATTGTTGACTACAGTCTGTCATATTTGTTGACTACAGTCTGTGATATTGTTATATTGTTGACTACAGTCTGCCACATCATTGTTGTCATATTGTTGACTACAGTCTGCAGTGCTATTGCAATCTGCAGTGATATTGTTGTCATTATACAGTCTCGCACAGAGTCCACGCACCTCCCAGTCACGATGAAATTGATTACAACACACAAGCTGGAATATGATGTAATAAGAGATGATTTGAATCATAGTTATAAGTTTGTTTGGAATGAAGAAAAACAACACACAAGCTCGGATGAGTTTAGAATGAAGAAAAATCGGATGAGTTTAGACAAAATATGTTCTCAGATAGTGTGCAGGACTTACTCGATAAATGTTTAGATACAGCCTTTAGTGATATCAATCAGAGTATAGAATATATTGCAGAGGCTTTGTGCTCAGCTGCAATGGGTATGAAACGAAAATTGACACATATATATTTTAGTAAGAACAGCCCATGGTTTGATAGTGAATGTAGGCGTTTGAAAGCTGAGCGTTGCCGTAAATTAAATCAGTTCAGAATTTATAAAGACAAACAGCACTTAGATGAGTATCATTTAGTTAGAAACCTATATAACGCTAAGTGAAAGCAGAAAAGAACAGAGTACTATAAACAAAAACAGATAAAACTAGAAAACCATATCAATTCTAAAGAGTTTTGGTCAATACTTCAAGGTTTGAATGGTAAACAGTCTACTAAACATGATATAAGTACCCGTGAGTGGTTTGAACATTTCAAACAATTGTTTACATCAGCTAGCAATGATGTAACGGAGGATGTAAGTGCTGGCAACGAGAGTACTAATGTACGTACAAGCACACCAACTGACTTTGACCTGTTGACTAACGATATTCTAGATCCACGTATTACCAGACAAGAAATTATAGATAGTATAGGACACTTAAAGGTAAATAAAACAGCGGGTGTTGATGATATTTTACCTGAATCTATTAAATATTCTGAAGATATCTTATTACCTTACTTTAGGTTGATTTTTAATGTTATTTTAGAGAGCGGTAATTTTCCATCGTCTTGGACTATTGGAATTATTATTCCAATTCATAAAAGCGGGAACATTAATAATGTTGATAATTATAGAGGTATAAATCTGTTAAGTATATTGGGAAAGGTTTTTGTCTATATCATCAACAAGAGATTGACTTTTTTGGCAAATACTTTTGATAAAATAGATGAATCTCAAGCCGGCTTTAGGGCAGGATACAGCACTGTTGATAACATCTTTACACTAAATTCAATTGTTCAAAAGTGTCTAAATACAAAGTGAAAGAAAATGTATGCTTTGTTTGTCGATTATAAGAAAGCGTTTGATTCAATACAGAGAGAAAAACTTTGGGGGTAATGCAACAAAAATTGTATTAGCTCTAAGATGAATAGATTGCTACAGAAGATATATGATAATGTGAAAGTTTGCATCAGAAAAAATCATGAAATATCAGATACCTTCAATTGCAATGTTGGGCTTAGACAAGGCTGTATTTTGAGTCCATTCCTGTTCTCAATGTTCATTAATGAATTTGCTTCGATAATACAACAGAATGGTACTCGTGGTATCCAGTTACATCCCTATTTGACACAGTTGTTTTTATTGTTGTTTGCTGATGATATGATTTTGTTTGCGACTACTGTTGTTGGATTACAAAGGCATATTCATGAGGATTAACTGTTACTATTGAGAAAACTAGAATAGTTGTATTCAAAAATGGGGGCACACTATATAAAACGGAAAAATGGTATTATAAAGGAGAGCCGCTCCAAGCCACACAATCATATAAATAGCTTGGAGTCTACTTCACTAATCGTCTTGGCTTTTCAGCACATGCTAAATATTGTTCCACACTAGCCAAAAAGGTACTTATTGGGGTTCTCAAACGCATTCACAAACTCGTAGATATTGATTATCATTCCTTTTTCAAAAAAATTGATACAAAAATACTTCCTATTCTATTGTATGGTTCAGAGGTATGGGGTTGCAATCATTTTGACGTAATTGAGAAAATACATTTATATACTTGCAAGAACTTTTCAGGAGTGAAAGCAAGTACACCTAATGCCATGGTATATGGAGATTGTGGAAGATTTCCCATATACATTTTTGCTAAAGCTAGAATAATAAAATATTGGAAACGTCTGTTATATATGCCATCTGATAGATACCCTAGACAGTGTTATGATATGATGTTAATGTACGATAACAACGGGAAGACTAACTCGGTGACTAACATTCGAGAATTGTTCAATACAGTAGGTTTTGGGGATGTATGGCAAAGGCAAAATGTTGACTTTCATACAAATTTTGTGAATAATGTTACTCAAAGGCTCAAAGATATGTATACACAAGAATGGGTTGTAGCACTGTCACTGTCAAGTAAATGTTTCTATTTTAGAATGTTTAAATCCCATATATACAGAGAGAATGATCTGTTTTCAGTAAATATCAAGAAATTTCGAAAGGCATTTGCTCGGTTTAGGTGTTCCTCACATGACTTGGCAATCAAAACAGGGAGATATCATAAAATAGAGAGAGAAAATAGAATTTGTACATTTTGTGATCTTAATTGTGTAGAAGATGAATATCACTTCCTCTTAATTTGCCCATTCTATTGTGAGTTAAGCAAAAAAAATGTCCCAACATATTATTCTGCATATCCCGATAGGGATGAAATTTTCTTTGTTAATGAGTACTGATGACAATGTTCTTATCCGTAAGTTGTCAACCTTTATCTATCAGGCAATGCCTCTAAGAAACAAACATAATAATTCATAGAATGTATGTACTTATATTGTTATTTGATATGATATGGTATGATGTGGTTCGATATGGTATGATATGATATGATATGATAAATGGTATGATATATTATGATGTAATATGGTGTGTTATGATATGATGTGATACGACAAAGTATGTGCAATGCGATGTTATATGATGTGATACATTTTGATGTGATATGACATATTGTGATGTGACTATATTATTTTTTCTATGATATGTTCTTGTATACTCTGGGCCTGTGGCCTTTCGTATGAATAAAGATTGACTGATTGACATTGTTGTCATATTGTTGACTATACTCTGCCGCAACATTGTTGTCATATTGTTGACTATACTCTGCCGCAACACTGTTGTCATATTGTTGACTATACTCTGCCGCAACACTGTTGTCATATTGCTGACTACTATCTGCCGCTACATTGTTCTCAATTTACTGTTCTTCAACATACTTTTGCATACGTACATGCAAAGGATGACAAAACAACCTAACTATATCAAACAGATGATTTATTAACAGAAAGCGACGGCACATGTTCATGACATCACGGACACACTGGACGCCAATGCATGGACATCAGTCATGGCATGTTTGGCGTGTTATGGAGGGAGGGACATGGTCGAGGTAGGGGTGGGGTGGCTCGTGCTCACTTAGAAAACAGGAAGGATGCGATGACGGCGATGACTCCAGTGACCACTGAGAAGGCAATAGATTCAGCACCTGGAACAGCAGGTTATCACATCAAGTTGATTTGATTCCTGAATTGAAATGATGTGGATAATCCCGATATGACCCAATATGGAAGATTTATTCTTTAGAGAGTGACAATGAAATTCAGGCGGTTTAACCGGAATGATAATGAGATGAATATGAAGAGATAGAAGGGTAAATATGAACCGATAGAAGGGTAAATATGAACTGATGGAATGGTGAATATGAATAGATAGAGGGTGAATATGAATATGTAGAAGGGTGAATATGAATATGAAGAAGGGTGAATATGAACAGATAGAAGGGTGAATATGAATAGGTAGAAGGGTATATATGAACTGACAGAGCGGTAAGCGTAAACAGATACATTGTCAGCTATGAACATTACAGTAGTGAATATGAATCGATCGGGATAAAGGGTGACTATTAATAGAGTGCGTATGTTGACTTTTGCCTTCGTTAAATAGCAAAGGATCGAACCAACTCTCGACATGGAACTGAGGCGACATAGACGAAAGGGCCGTCCGTACCATTTATTTATTTATTTATTTATTTATTTATTTATTTATTTATTTATTTATTTCTTTCTTTCTTTCTTTCTTTCTTTCTTTCTTTCTTTCTTTCTTTCTTTCTTTCTTTCATTCATTCATTCATTCATTCATTCATTCATTCATTTCTTTCTTTCTTTCTTTCTTTATTTGGGAGAAGAGTATTAATATGATCGGACCGATGGAGGGGTGTATATATGAGCACATTTATGAACATTTTTCATGCAATCATGATTATATACAGACAGAAGGATGAATATGTACAGATAGGATGGAAATACAGCTTCACGACATAGAAATGTGAATATGCAGATATAGAGGTGTGAATAGGAAGCGACAGATAGAAATGTGCATACGAAGCGACAGATAGAAATGTGAATACGTACAGATAGAAGGGTGAATACGTACAGACAGAAGGGTGAATACATACAGATAGAAGGGTGAATATGTACAGACAGAAGGGTGAATACGTACAGATAGAAGGGTGAATACGTACAGATAGAAGGGTGAATATGTACAGACAGAAGGGTGAATACGTACAGACAGAAGGGTGAATACGTACAGATAGAAGGGTGAATACGTACAGATAGACGGGTGAATACGTACAGAGAGAAGGCTGAATACATACAAATAGAAGGGTGAATACGTACAGACAGAAGGGTGAATACGTACGGATAGAAGGGTGAATACGTACAGATAGAAGGGTGAATACGTACAGATAGAAAGGTGAATACGTACAGATAGACGGGTGACTATGTTCAGATAGAAGGGTGACTATGTTCAGATAGAAGGGTGAGAATGAAAATATAGGTATCTGGATCCGAAGCGATAAATAGATGAATACGAACAAATATAACGGTAAATATGAAGGGTGACTATGAACAGATAGAGAGTGAATATGAACAGGCAGAGGGGTGAGTATGATTTTATGGGAAATGCATAAGGCGATGCATATATGGCCTAAGCCTGAAGTAACTTTCCTTAAAACAAATGCTTGAAACAAGGAGCCTTAGAACACAGGCGATTTTTGTTTCGTTTGCAATACTCAGTTTTGAACTGCAGACTGTTTACATACGTACCGCAGACAGCGCTGTAGATGACGGAGGCTGGTTCGTAAGTGCTGTAGAGGCTAAGTCGATTTGCATCTTCTGTGCCATCTGTTGCGCACTTATTGTACTCAGTTAGAATACAAGTCTTGTACACAAGAGCTGTCCTGGAACAAGTAACAGTGACTTCTGTCAAAACTGTCTGTTACAAAACAAAACGGCTAACGCCATGAACTTCCATGGCAAACTGATTCTCTTTTGCCTTTGTCACTAAAACTGAATGCTAGTCATACAGACCCTGAAACAAACATATCAAAGAAGCCCATGCTTTCCTTAGTATGTGGTAAGCCTAGAAAATGAAAAAGATCTCTTGCGTTCCTTTTCATTTTATTTTATGATTGTAATTTAGGAACCGCTTTTTTCTGTAGAATATGTTCATTTTCAGAGTCTAGATGTTTGTCTAATAAATGCACAATTAACCTTATACCTGTAATGCCATCTAATCATTTTCGGAGATCAGTGTTCGTAGAACCACGGCTCTAATTATTGATGCATTGAGGGAAATTGTAAATGATTCAGGTATCAGACTTTTACCCACGAGGAGGGGTGTGGTGCTGATTCAGAAGCATTATAGGGGCGTGCCGGGTTTGAACCCAGGAACATAGGTTCCTGGTGTGACAAAGGGCCACAACTCTGCCCAACGAAAAGCCGTGTCTGTGGCGACTGGACCGCTCTTGTCCCCTCTTGGTGGAGACATCACAGAGACATTTTGTCCATTACTTGTTCACACGGGCTGTGTTTGTAAAATAGACCATTTCGACCCAGCATAATTTAATTTTTTTTTAAATATAATAAAAGTTATCAACTTACGGGCAATCGGTACCAGCAGTACATACTGGAGACGCTGAACATGCGGCGTCACCCTTGGAGATGAGCACAGCTACAACAGACAAATAACGACACACATTATCCCAGCAAAATGGTGTCGTGCCGGGAAGGCTAAAAATTATTTTTCAGATGTCCCGGGAAGGCTAATATTTATATTTCGGATTTCCCGGGAGAGCTAACTTCCAAGGAAGTAAGGAAGTACCACCAAAGCTAAAGATACGGTTCCGTCCGGAAGCATAATCCATGTCCGGAGTAGAATCTTGGCTACTCGGTTACATCAGACCAATCTTTAAGAATATATGTTAGTCAGGCCTTGATACTGTTTGGAGAAATGGTTTCAGGATTGTAATGATTAAAGTAAGATAAGCAGCAAATTTTTTAAGATAATTTACAATATGTATCAACAAATTAAATCCTGTTGAAAACATAGTGATTGTGCTTCACTACTCTTCCGCTGTAAGTACAGCCATGGTAAAACATCGCGTTTGTAGCAGATCTTTGTTATAACACGTGGGTTATGTTGATAGATTGGGTGTAAGGGTAGCCTAGTGGTTAAAGCATGCGTCATGCCGCGATGTTTTACCATGGCTGTACTTTGGGAAGATTCGACTGACGCATATACAGTCCCTGAACCGCAATATTTCCACTTCTTTCCAGCCCCTACTGCAATTCTAATGAGTGAGTGAGCGACTTTAGTTTTGCGCTGCTTTTAGCAATATTCCAGCAATATCACGACGAGGGAAGCCAGAAATGGGCTTCACACATTGTACCCATGTGGGAATCGAACCCGGGTATTCGGCGTGACGAGCGAACGCTTTAACCACTACCCTAAAAGAAGGAAGTCAATATTTCCTCAGGTTCTGAATCTCCCATCTCACTGGGGCTGCTTTTCAATTTAATGGATTTATTTGTTTCTAAAAAATTGTATCATGTCATCGTATCCCAATTGCGTAGATCGATGCTCATGCTATGCTGCTGATCACTTGATTGTCTGGTCCAGACTCGATTATTTACAGACCATCGCCATATAGCCGGAATATTGCCGAACGCAGCGTTAAATAGCAAACAAACCAGTATAAGGTGGAAATGATAAGCGCAGTAACTTACCCAGTAGACAAAGGACGAGAACACACTTCATGGTTATTGTGGCGGTGGTTGGATCAGTCCCTAGTCAGTATCGGAGCAGAGTGACCATGTGTCGGGGTTTCGAGATTTTATACACATGTGGCATCACATTTGTTTGGTGTTGCCATGGTTGCCTATAAAGTGCATCAAAACAACGGGTGTTACTGGTATTTGAAATACCCCGAGTAAACACTGGTGTCAAGGCAGTTAACAATGATGAATAACGTTGTGTTGGCAATATTTAGTTTGACCTTCGACAATGTACGCTAGTGAGTAGAGCAATTTGTAAGAAAAATCCACTCTCAGGAACTTTCTTTTTATGAAGTGCACGATCCCACTTGGACGGGGGTAATAGTGTTGGTGAAGGGGTGTGGGATCCCTATTTGGACAGTTATGACTGGGTGGGCTGACAGTCTAAAGGTGTGAGGGACATGTGAAGTTTTATGCATACGGTTAAGGATCATCGTTCCATTAGGCTCTCAAATATTCTTCACGGTGTTGCCGCTACTAGTTTATTTACCTTTCACCCTGTGCACTAAAAAGACCCCGATGGTATATGACCTGATTGGGATACACTAATACGTTCATAAGTCCGGAATACAGGAGTCAAAACGTGTGGCGTTATCAAGGGCTAGTAACAGTTCAAGTTGGTTTCTGTTCATCCACCTGAGAGAGTTCATATCTATATTATGTATAGTTGGAATATATTTTTAGCCTTTCAGCCTTTCGGCCACCAGATTCGTTTAGGAATTTCTAATAGATTAAATCAAGCTTTCTGTCAAATCTGATGCTTGTCGTAAGATGCGACTAACTGGATTGGGTGGTCAGACTCGCTGGCTTGGTTGACACATGTCATCGGTTCCCAATTGCGCAGGTCGATGCTCCTGCTGTTGATCACTGGATTGTCTGGTCCAGACTCGATAATTTACTGACCGTAGCCATATGGCTGGAATATTGCTGAGTGCGGCGTAAAACTAAACTCATTTACTCACCTAAACTACATAATTTTGACACATTTTGTAAACGTACTGAAATTGGTATTTCTAGTAATCGAAATGAAACGACATCGATTATGTTGCGATGTGGCGTGATGCTTAGACGATATGATGAACTTATCTTATAGTCGTGTTTTAATTAAATGGGTATATGTTGTCTTAGTTGTACGTTGATTTGTCGGGATCACATTACAAAAATAAACACCCACTTTTTGAGGTTAGTTGGTTTATGATTTAAGTCTTGTTTCAAGTGGTTATAAGTGTCACCCATAAGCTAACGAACAGGATGTAACAAATATACTATATAATAATTGGAAAGGGACCTAGTACTGAACCTTGATGTACTCCAGCTGCCGAATATTTCAGATATACATAGATGTATCGCTTTACATATTGCTTCCGTCTTGAAATGTAAAATTATATCAGTGAGTGAATAATTGTCATCCACACCCTAACGAACTGAATGTAACAAATATACTATAAAATAATGAAGAAGGGACCTAGTACTGAACCTCGTCGATTTTCTCCAGCTGCAGAATATTTCAGATATACATAGATATATCGCTATACATATTGCTTCCGTCGACAAACGTAAAAATATATCAGTGAGTGTAAGTGTCCAAGGGTATATAATAAGCTGGCTCTATGCCTAATACCATCTAAGACATCGAAGAATATCTCTCGCTTCCTGCATTCAAAGGCGTAATTTTGCGTGTTGTCGCTTGCATCTTCAAGCTTGCAGCGTTTTAAAGTTTCGTATAGTTCCTCGTCAAATATGACTGTTCATGCTCAGGTCAATGGAACCATGCCTTCTGTGTGTCAGACAAAGAAATTAGTGCTTCGTCCGGTAAACATGAAGGTATTCAAGTTGACATTGGTATGTTTGTACTGATACAGTGGAGATATTCCCGTAGAGCACAACATGTTGTTGTAATCATGTTCTAATGAGTTTGAACATGGCAGTATTAAAGCTGTTGATAGGACCCATACATTACTATCACCAGGGACACTTCACGAAGGGACGTTTCGATATACATGTATAGTCCGTTTGGCTCAAAAGCGGACTAATAACCATAAAATACTCAATGAAACGCTGATCATAATCAAAGCATCATACCCACTCTGTGAAGTTTTTTGCAGAATTTTTGTCCTAAAAATAAAAAAGTTGTTTAACAATCTATCATTAAAATATTGACACAGTTCACTATTTGTTACGAGGGAGGAGTGCAGAGAAAGGGACAGCCAGGTGTTCGAGAACGGATGGAGACGGCACAGCACAGGTTAATGAATAAATAACTTCTGTCTGTGAACGTGCTTCTCGAACACCTGGCTGTCCCTTTCTTTGAGCCAAACGGACTGTAGCTATTGACTTTGGTGGGGGTAGTGTTCATGTAAGCATGTCAGCAGACCGTTAACCCTCGTTGGACATGTGACATCTTCAATGAACCACTAGGGTTTGTGTTATAACAGGAGCTGGACATTGGGCTGTAACTTAAAAGCACAATGTGTAAAAAACATTTACAAGAAGAAGTTGTCATCAATGAAGTCGTATGCTTCACTTTTGACTCACCAACGTCTAGTAAGCCGATCAAACAGTTAGTACAATGTGTAGATGTATAACATTAGGCTCAGGGCACAGGTCAGTAGTACTGTGATGTAGTAGTACTAATACTTCGTGTAGATATTCCAAGATGTTATGACACTTAACTTAACCTCACATCACGAACTATGAAGGATCTTTTTACTAATGTCAGCTCTCATTTAATTATTGCATTTTTAAAAGAATTAGATTTGTTAAACGATTTGTAAATAGATAAATATTTCATTATTGGAAGTTTGCATTAGTAACTCAGATTGTTAGTGGCTGTATCCTCAAGGGGGGTTAAAGTACTGTAAAAGTATTGTCCTCCTGAGAGGGTACGTAAGTCCCAAAACATTTGAAGTAAAATTCTAATGTTCCACTTTTTTAATCGTAGTATTCTTGTCATTTTAATTTGTGGCTTAATTTGCTTACAATTGCCAGCGGCTGAAGGGATGGTGTGAATCCAACTAGGGTCCATGTAGGTAGCTAAGGTACTGTAAGTCCCCATGGTCCCTAGTATGGTGATCTACCTTCAGTTGTTGGCGATCTCTATCCATTTTTAATATTGTAATGTCCAAATAGTACTAATAGTTTTAACTTTCTAAACTAGTTTTAATTCAAATTGTGATATTCTAGTTGTTTTACTGTCCTTCGTCGGCAGGTTTTTATAATATCTATATATATTCTATTTCAATGTCAAATGTTCTCGTCACGATATGGCTGAAATATTGCCGATGTGACGTTAAATAATAACTCACTCACTCACTTAACTTAACCTTTTTCAACATTGAATACTTGATTACGGTGTTAGAACCTACACGGAAACGTTGATCCCACTGTAATAAAAAAGTTGTTTATCCATATATTGTTATCATTACTCACTGTTTGAAAATATGGAAAATGGTTCATGGAATCGGGAGCGTAATGTAGAAACGGTTTCTAACTTATTACATTTCTTTTCCCAGAATCCTTGCAAATCCCAATATTATTATATTGAGAGAAGTGATGAGACGAAATGAACAGGGTTCAACCATGTGATGCTTGATAACGGTGGTAGAAGCCTAGAACCTCCACAGAATCGTCGCTAACACTGTAATAAAGTAGTCCTTCATCCATATATTATTATCCTTCTAATCGCCCCTCAAAGACGTTACATGTTATTAAATGCAACAATGGTATTTTAACAACTTTTGTGAACAACCCCGTTCTTGTCACAAATCAATATATTTGTGTATTGTCGAATTTATAACTCTAATGAAATATATTCTAAAACAATGACAACTAATCAAATGCGGTAGAATTACAGAAATATGTTTAAAAGCTTGTTTTTACTGTGGTTTGTATT